TGAGAGCTCACGGGATCAGGATCTGCACGAGGGCTGACAGAGGGTGTAAGTTCGATTGTTCGGGTGTGTTCAGGAGAACTCTTCGATGTTTCGTCGTTTAGATTCCTTGGGTCCTGACCCCTGTGCCCCTGTCCCCCCGTCTACCCAGGCTGCTGGACATTGTGAAGCTCTTGATCCTGATCATTTTCATAAACCACTTCATCGCTTGCGCATGGCTCCTTGAGCAGAGAGGGTTTGTTTTTCCTTTTGGGGCTTGGGCCAGAGCCTTCTCACATCTTCGTGCGATTTTGAACCCGCCTACAAGCTCGAAGAGGTACCTTGTGGGCTGCAACCCACCGAACAATGAGAGCTCCTGGCTCGTCGCAGAGTTTTCCGTCATCTCCTGCGACGATCCTGTGGATGATTTGCTGCTCTATAAGTGCCCCCTTACAGGGCGAGGTCTGCTTCGGCCCTGGGCTCTTCCTCCTGCAACTTTTCGTCCTCTTGCTAATTACGCCAAGCAGAATTTAGCACGTTCGGAACCTGGAACTCGAACCCAAGCCCCAGCTTCGAGACTGGCAGTCGCAGGTACACAACCGCCATGCACTGGTCCCTCACACAGTTTACGCCGGCGTCCATGGGCGTCCAGCCACAAAACACCATCGAAAGGACTTCCCTCAAGCCCAAGAAGAGCATGAGATACTGTTTATCAAATATGGCAGACTCCCCGATGGAACATACCTGCTTTGCCGATGGCTGCCGAGGGTTTGCTTGTTGGAGCAGGGCTTGGAGCCAAAAGCTTCTCTAGCAAGGATGCGGTTCAGATATTTTCATCCCGTATCCACACCGGTGCATGCGCCGGCGAATGGTTTTGAAAGAGCACTCCTAGCCTACACAGATCATATTGACATGTTATTCAAGCCCTAGCCCCAGGAAATCGTGCTCCGAACGCGTGGCACTGGTGCCACAGTCGAACATCACAAAGACGGCTAGCCGTATGAGGGTAGCAACAAAAGTGAATAGATATGTGAGTCATGGTAACTCAGATTCAGGAGACAATGATTTGAAAGGAGCTTCGCCATCGGTGTGCTGCTTTTTGCCCTCCTCGTCTTCTCTTCTTTTGTGGCGAGCCTGACTGGCGCAACCACGAGCTCTGTGGCAGACATCTAGTTGAGTCTAGATGTCCAGTGGATGGCGGGGTGAGGAGGCGACAGACCTAACGAGTATGCCAACCAGGTCCCCCTTAAAAGAGGGGTGAGGGTGGCCTCGCGGACCGTCTCAGCCCCTACCCAAGAACATGCAACCATGTCTGAATTGTCGTTGCGGTTGATGAGTTGGGCATGGTGGAGAATTGCAGCTCCAGAGGTCTTGCTGAAGAAAGGATTTGGAGCTACTGTTGGGTTGTCTTTCATTTCAGCATATGGGACACAACGTAGTTACTTGTGCCTCAAGTCCCAGTCTCAGCCCCAGCTTTGCTCGTGCGCCAGGGTGCAATGCTAGCGTATTTGCCTGCCGAGGCCGAGGTGTGACGGATGTAGTTTCAAAAAAAGACGCCCTCCAACCCTTCAGCTGTTCAGCCCTCCGGACTTCATCCAGCGCCAAAAAACATCCATCGCATCCCGAAGCGAGGCTTGCGCAAGATGACGGGGCGGCATTCATCTCAGCTGTGGCTGCTCCGAAAGTTCCTGCGACAGCGTGGAATCTCACTGGATTTGCAGGTTCGAATCAACCGGTGCCTGGGCTGTTGGCAAGCTTCTTCCACCGCCGCCCGGGTGTTTGGTTTTGGAAAGCTCATGCACTGCCGACAACCACGAAGGTACATCAATGTTGTACTGACGAACACGCAGCGCTATGTGCAATACAGCGTGTTGAGCTCAGACTTGGGATATTCTGCCTGACATAGAGTTAGTTATGTCCTTGCCCAGTTTGGGTGTATGGCACCTCCCCCACCCCAAGATCCTATCTCAGACCCACCTACCAGTCCAACCCTTTGACCCACCTACCACCACCTTAAGCCCGATCTTAGCAAAACTACCTTATTCCCAATACCTGTATCTACCTATCTGCCATACCCCCAAACTGGGCAAGGGGGGTCTTGTAGAATTTGGTTCAGGGTTTAGGGTTTAGGGTTGTATCAATCTATTGCTTCCCAGCTGATTGGCAGAGTCTGGGTTCAAAAAAGGGTTGTATCAAAGCTTTATCTTCTCGGATTCTCCATTATAACTAGGTTCCTGAGTAGTACCCTTTTGCCCTTTTTATTGTATGGCTCCCTTATTCAAATTGAATAATAGGTAAAAGGGTACCCTCATTATTAAGGGGTCACTCAGGAACCTAGATAATATATAACTTCCTATGTATTATGATTACATAATTATAACTATGCAGTCTGGGTAGTTACATCACCGTCGCCAAATTTCAGGTCATGTATCTTCCCAATCTGGGCAAGGCTAGGTTGTTTCGGTTCGTTGTTCATACTAGGAATTTTGAACTATCATCTCATCTAAGAACCGTGTTGTTTCTTGTAACTATTCACATTGTAGATTATTGTCTCTTTTTGTATCATATTGCAAGAAGGATATTTTTCAAAAATAAAAATATGATATACCATGATGATAACGAAAGTAACCACATAAGATATCTTTGAAATAGTCCTTTTTCTCTTGATGCCATTTATAGAAGTCAGATTTATATAGGGTCTCATACATTGTTCTCATTTCAAGGTGTAAGTCAAGTGTATGCTTATGCTTAAGAACATCATCTCGGCATTATTTTATGAACTTCATCATATTCTGGGTATTTGTATACTAGATTTCGTAGCTTACAACATTTGTCAACCATAGTAATCTACAATAGGAGTTTTACAGATATACAAGGCATCGCGTTTACCTAGTATTTTTTCTGTCTGTTCCTAGCCGGGATACACTTATTGCAGTTATGGAAATAATTAAATTCGTGTATCCCACTATAAATCACACATGTTTCGTCATCACTTTCACTTTCATATTCACTCTGACTTTCATATTTACTACTACTACTACTACTACTACTGCTGCTGCTACTACTACTACTACTACTACTACTACTGTTAGTAGTACCAATACCACTCATGACTATTGCTACTGCTGTCAGCTATTACTCTTACTGCTGCTGCTACTGCTGCTAGTGCTACTGGTACTGCTACTGCTGCAACTCCTGCTGCGTCAGACTGAGCACGACCACTACTACTGCTCCTCCTCCTCCTCCTCTTGGTCGTCACTTTTACGAAGCTCAAAAACCACCTCTCGACTGCAAGCCCCTGAATACCAGTTTGGGGCTGGCCTTTGGTGCTTGGGCTTTAGGGATTTTGGGTTTTTGGAGTTTAGCACCCAAGGAACGCTAAGCCTGACCCCTGGGCACTAAAGGCTACCAGGGACAACATACATTGAGTGCGTTGACCCTTAGCTTGAAAGTCCTACATCTGAATCAAACACGAGAACCCAAAACGCCCATAAATCTTCAAGCCTCAAACACGAAACCTGACAGCCTCTGCATCCTTATCCCCGCAACCCTGAAGCCCAAGCCATCACGGAGTTGAAAGGCCGGAAACCTGTAATTCGGAGGACGAAGGAGGACGCCAATCTAAAAGACGGAGCCCTGAATCGGAACCCGGTGTGCTAAGCGTTCATGCATGCCTGCCTTGTGCTTGACTGAAAGTCACTTTTCCGGAGGACGTTGAACTCTTCGGCCATCTTTCGGGCCCGCTGCACAACGAGCTGCAGACGGAGCTGAACAAGCCCCCCGGCCTCGTTTGCTTCTTCTTTTGGGTAGCGGCTAGCGGGGGCTTCAAAGCGAAGCTTTAGAGTTTCAAGGTTTTGAGTTTGGGAGTGTCGGGTGCCGAAGCTTTGGAGTACGAGAACATCGGTGGGCCTTGATCTTGGGGTGTACCTGCGCGTTTTCACGTTTTGGCTTCTCCATCAGCTTATCAAAGGACGCCTGCTGCTTGTTGGCTCCCTCCATGTCAAAATTAACCCCATTTCACCAACGCTAGGATACCGTCTCTGGCCTATGCTTGTTGGCCCCGGCACAGTTGGTGTTGACCCCGGAATGTGTTTTTTTGGCCCGTACCTTCCCCCTACGGCACAAGGCTATGCTCCGTCCAAAGGCACGCACGAGTTGTATTTTGAAACTGTGTGTTTTTGACCCCGCACCCTGCCCCCGAACATTGCTTTTCTGTCCCGTCGAGCCCACCAAAGAATGTAAAACCTGTCTTGATCTCCCCCCCCTGCCACATTGCACAGGCCTGGTTATGCTCCGCCTATAGGACCTGGTTTGGAGACCGTGTTCATGTTGACCCCGCCCCTTCTTCCCCGACGAAGGGCAGTTTTTCCTGTAAGTTCCAGTCTCACCCCGGTATCTTGCTTCTTTGCCTTCGTGAACATGCAAAAATGCATAACAGGAAACGCATTTGGGAACCTGTTCTTACTGACCCCCCCCCGGGGCCTTGGCCCAAGGCACCATTTCGTGGAGTCCCCCGAACGTTGCTTTTCTGCCCGCCCCCCTCCCCGAAGTCCAAACACATGCAGAAAGGTGTCTTGATTGCCAATCCGTGTTTGTGTAGACCCCCTTCGCCCTCTTTCCATGGCAGAATACGCAAACTCAGGTTTTGCAGGATCCATAGGGTTTCAGAAATCTCGGCATCATAGCCATTTTTGAAGAGTTCACGCAGCTCTTCGGGTCAAAACCTAGATTTTCCGCAGCCACAGGAAAGGTGATATTTTGTAAAAATAAGTTTACGGGCACTTCCTTGGCTTCGGATTCTGCCTTTAAGGCCAGTGGCACCTGGCCAAGAACCGTTCCCGAATTAGCGCGAGGTGCTTTTGAAAAAGCCTGCAAAGCCTTGGGTTTTGACAGAATGGTCAAAATCAGGTTCTGCAAGTTCCATGGGGTTTTCAGAAATCTCGGAATCCAAACCAGTTTTGAAAGCCTGACGCAGCTAGCTGAGTTGAACATATGGGGGGTTCAAAGAAACAGGCGGGGGACACTAGCCAAAAAAGAACACGCCCCCCTATCAAAGTACGTCATCTGTCTAGGTACTCTATGCAATTTATGCGTGAAAGCAGATGGAAGTCTGTTCACGCCATCCACGCACACTCTCTTGGCTGCACCCTCCTTGCAAAGGACTCCAGTCCGGAGCAACGCAGTATCGCAGCTCATCAGGGGAGCAGGTGAATCCAGTTGAAATTGCAGTGTAACGGCCCAGAGCTTTTTGGAAAACACTTCAAGGCCTCGTCTGCTGATCCACCCCTTCTTCGTGAACATGCCGCTCGTCATAAGAAATTGAAGATGAAGCTCAAGACCTGTCTTTGCAAGAGAGAGAGGGCATTGGGCACGTTTGGTTTACATCAGAGACTCGAGTTTGGGGTTTTGGATTTGGGGGTGTGGGGCATTGGGGAAGGACGCTGCACTGCACCCTTGCAGGCTCCACGTTTCGAAGCCCGGAGTTTCCGAAATCTAAGGACACCGGAGGCTAAGGACATGCTGTTATGAAACCCTACACCTGCCCTTCTCTGCCCCGAACCCTAGCAAAGACTCAACCGTGTGAGCTCCGCACACACTCCAACCCCCAACAGCTTCGCATGAGGCAGCGGCACCAGAGCCAGGATACATAGGATGCAGGGGTGCAGGTTTCTGATACATGAAATGTTTGTGCCGCATGATAGAACAGCTTGAAAGGCATCTAAGCCTTCTGATGACTATCTACAGCCGCTGTTGTTGCAGCGCGCTTCAAAGGCCTAATCTCCAACAGCAACATCTCTAGATCATCGCCGTCGTCTACACGAGCATGTGGTTCTTTGTTCTTGAAGCCGTGTTTTCTGCTCAAGGTTAGGCTCTGAGGCTGAGGGCCCCCGACCTTCAGGGCTGAGGGCCTCGGGTGTTGAACGTCATGTTTGATGGTGGATCCGGCTAGAATTTTCCGGAGGAACATGCTAGTCGAATGCGACGACTAGGACAGCCGCAGGTCCTCACGCGAAAATTTGCTCCACTCTTAAGTGTGCGACATGCGGCTTGCCGCTTGCGCTGCCGCTCTTGTATAGGCCGAAGGTAGAAGATTAACTCTAGAACTTTCACAGCCATAAACGTGAGGTTGGACAAGTTTGAGGCCTTGATGCGCAAGGCCGGAAGCTGGGGAGGGGGAAGTCGGGTTCACCTTAGGATAGTAGCAGCTGTTGCAAAGCGAGGAGACGAGATTTCGCTAGAAACCTGGCTTCCTTCCTACACCTCGTAACCACATGTGGGTGAATGCAATTGACAAGGAGTTGCATTGCACCAAGAGCTTCAGTTTCATGCAAGTCTCAAACCTACAGGTTTTGTGAGCCGTCCGGCATCCATTCAGTCGGGACAATGGATTCTGTCTCCTGTCGTCGTAAACTCCGAGGGATGGCCAGGGTCTGAACGAGCGCTAGCACATGCAACAATAGATCCTAACTTTTGCAGAAACGTTTCTACTGCTTAAAGCAAGAACCAGGGCTTCAAGGTGTGAGCGGCCGGCTTCGCTCGAGCTTTCAAGCGAGTTGGTGTTACGCTTCGCAGCCCAAAGCCTGTGCGAGCTTCCACAAAATGTAAGCCGAGGTTTGCTGCAGCGTTCCGGTGGAGATGGCACTCTCACGGGGCGATGTGCTTTTCAACGGCGGCGAAGAAGCTCAACATATGCCTCCTGACAACATGTTTTCTGAGAGAACATGCCTCGACCCTTTCAGCTCCTGTTCTGGATGTCCAAGTGCTTTGTGCTCCCTTAGATTTAAATACACGCTTTAACATTTCAAGGATTTCAATGTGATTTGGCACCGGGCTTGTCTTCCAGCTCGAAACCCCCAACACGCCTAAG